CCCATTGTGGTTGGTTTAAACAATTCTATTTGACTAACCATTTAAAAATTTTACCATTACAAAAGCAGCCAATATAAAGCCTAAAACAAACACCATTCATTCAAGTATATATAATTTTAAAAAAACATCTTGGAACCAACAAAATACATGCAAACAGCAATCCCATGATCTTCCATTATAACCTTTGTTACCCCTTCTCATCCCTTTTCCTGATGTTAAAATGATAACTGTGCTATTAATGTTACCAGAGCCGTGCCTTGGGTATGGCGAATCAGGGCGACCGCCCTGGGCCCTGCGCTTTGGGGGGCCCTGCACCTCGATAAAATCATGAGAAGGCAGGCAGGGAGGGGTGGCGGGAGGCGGGCGGGTGAGCGGAGAGAGGAGGCGAACTGGGAGGCGAGCGGCAGGTGGGCAGGGGGTGTTTGAAGGAGCCCCCCTACCAGAACCTCCCCCCCCCCAGCGCCTCCTGCCTGCCAGCGGGCCCCGCAAACCAGCACTTCCACTTCCCCCTCAGTGCCTACCACCTGCCGTGGATCAGATGTTTTGTGGTGTCAGGAGGCGCTGGGGAGATGGGAGAGGAGTGAGGGTGCAGCATGCTCGTGGGAGGGGGTGGAACTGGGTGGAGAAGAGGGAGGGTGGAGGTAGGAAGAGGCGGGGCAGGGGTGAGGCCTTGGGGGAAAGGGTGGAGGGGGGGCAGGGCCTGGGCAGAGCTGGGGGGAGCATCCACCGGCAGATTAGAAACTCGGTGCCTATGTCCCTGGCCCTGCATCCTCCTAGGAATGGCCCTGAATGTTACACTAAACTCTGGGGTCTTTATTTATTTATTTAGCATTTACAGCAATATGCTGGACATTCAAATATCTTATGTTTTAACTTTTATTCCTAATGTTTAAAATTCACCTTGTGGCAGAGGGTCAGCACAGATGCTGTACAATAACTTAAATTTAATCTCTTGGGCCCTGATCCACAAAGGGACTTAGAGAGTGTGACACTGAGCATCTGAGAGCTTAACTTTTAGGGACCTAGAACAGGGGTGGACAAACTACGGCCCGTGGGCCGTGTCCAGCCCATCAGATGTTTTAATCTGGCCCTCAAGCTCCAGCTGGGGAGTGGGGTCAGGGGCTTGCCCTACTCTGTGCATGCTGTGGCTCTGCGCGGCTCCTGGAAGCAGTGGCATGTCCCCCCTCCAGCTCCTACGCGTAGAGGTAGCCAGGGGGCTCCACATGCTGCCCCTGCCCCAAGCGCTGCCCCCGCAGCTCTCATTGGCCAGGAACTGTGGCGCCTGCGGACAGGGCAGTGCGCAGAGCTGCCTGGCTGCACCTCCATGTAGGAGCCGGAGGAGGGACATTCCGCTGCTTCCGTGAGCTGCTTGAAGTAAGTGCCGCCCAGACCCTGCACTCCTGACCCCCTCCCCAGGCCCCAACCCCCTGCCCAAGCCCCGATCCCCCTTCTGCACCCCAAACCCCTCATCCCCAGCCCCACCCCAGAGTCTGCACCCCCAGCCAGAGTCCTCCTCCAGACACCCCAACCCCCTGCCCCAGCCCTGATCGCCCTCCTGCCCTCTGAACCCCTCGGTCCCAGCCCAGAGCACCCTCCTGCACCCCAAACCACTCATCCCTGGCCCCACCCCAGAGCCCACACCCCCAGTCAGAGCCCTCATTCCCACACCCGCTGCGCCCCAACCCCCTGTCCCAGTCCTGTTCCCCCTCCTGCACCTTGAACTCCTCATTTCTCACCGCAACCCCAATTTTGTAAGTATTCATGGCCCAGCATTCAATTTTCATACCCAGATGTGGCCCTCGGGCCAAAACGTTTACCCACCCCTGACCAACAAGATCACAAGAACAACACTCTGATCCACAAAACTTGAGTGAGATGCCTACGCTTCTGTACAATGAATGGGGAAATATATGTGTCTTAGACTGTGATCCACAAAGTTTGAAACCATGTCTCTCTCATCAACAGAAGTTGGTCCAATAAAGGAGATTACCTCACCCACCTTGTCTCTCTAATATCCACAAAGCCAGCATGCTAGGCAGGGGGCTGCCTAAACTAGCCAATAAGCGATGCTGCCCTGGGGGGAGGGGGTGCTAAGCCACGCCCCTCTCTTAGAGATAGGTACCTAAATCTGGCTGCAGGGAAGCTCTTATCTCTGCTTGCAATCCATTAACTGGGGGAAGGTATGCATTTGGCTGCCTAAGTTGTGGGCAGAGTCTGAAACAAAACAGCCCAGTGTGGAGGGAGGCAGGTCCTCCCTTATAACATCTAGCCTAATGGATAGGGTACTCATCGTGGATGGAGGAGGCATCCAGTTCAAGTTCTGTGCCTCCTAAGAGGGAGAAGGGATTTGTTACCATTCAGGGAGTACCCTAATCACTGGACTACCAGATAGTCTGATATAGATCTCCTGCAATGTCTCCTGTTGAACTTGTTTCACTTTAATTTAACAATTAAATATTAATTGGGCCAGAGAAAGAGTTAGAATGACTCTATAGCCTCGTAGTTAGTGCATTCACCTGCGAGGTAACGATTCTCTTTTCAAATCCCTTGTTCCCCTCAAGAGAAGGGTGGACTTGAACTGAGGGCCTCCCACATGCTGGGTGAGTACCCTATCCACTGGCTAAAGGTTATAAGAAAGGGTCCCTTGCCCCAGGCTGTTTTGTGTGATCTTACCCAAGGGGTCTGATCTGCTACCTACTAGATCAGGCCCCTGCATATGACATATGTCCAAACACCTGTCTTCCCTAGTTTGCGAATTGCTCTGGGGCTTAGGCAGGAGGGAGGCAGCAGTAGGCATGCCCAGAGGAGGCAGAAAAATTTAGGCATTCAGTGAATTTAGGTGCTTATAGGTTTAGGTAGCTGCCAAGCAGTTTTGTGGATTGCAGTGGTGCCTAAAAACATGATGTAGGTGCCTAACTACCTTTGTGGATTGAACCTGAGGGCTAAGAGCCTGTGATCCTCCTCCAGCTGCAAAAACTGTCTCTGCACTATCTGACATTGAGTAGAGGGAAGTATAGCAATATGTGTGGGCCAGCGGTGAGGCACGGGATTTTGTGTTCAGGTAAATCCCAGTGGCCCCACTGTGTTACACAAAGGGCTCCCATGAGTTATGGCTGCTACATCAGTCCACCGGCACTGTGGCATCACACTGCAGGCCAGGAGGAGGAGTGACTCTCACTTCCCCTCCCCATCTGTACTTCTCCCACACAGAGTGAGGTTGCATGGGTAAAGTGGGTTTCACTCAAGCTTAATGTAACTGAATTTTAAAGTGAGTTTTTTTCCTGAAAAGTGACTGCAAAAATAGCACTTTCTTACTCAGCAGATCTGCCCCTTGTCTGTATTCAGTCACATCTGCTTATGTGTGAAGGAGCAGAGAGATGGCTGCCAGGCACAGCAGGGGTTAAAGAAAACTTGTGGGTTCAGCTAGCCCCGCCCCATTATACCTGCAGCCAATGCCAGGCCTGGAAGAGGGAGAAAAGAAGGGAGCCCGGGTCAGTCAGGGGTTGGCTGGTGAAGAGGTAGGAGCTCTCTCTGTGTCTGCTGAAGGCAGGGATGCAACCTACCTACCAATGCAGCCACTGCAAGCAAGCAAGCAAGCAAGTCTTCCTCAGCAAAGGGGAATCTACTGCCAAGCCCCAACTGTGGGGAAACTAGACTATCAGGGCCGTGCCCCAACCTAAAGGACTTATGTAGGGAGCAGCTCAGATAACAGGTCCTGAGTCTCCTCCATGCCCCCCACGATTGGGAGCAAGATCCATCTCCCCTGTCTAGGGGTGAGAGTGGCCCAGGACTCTTGAGCCAGGAGCTAAGGTAAAGGAGGGCAGGTCCCCCCTCTAGCCCCTAACCAGTGATCGAGCCCCTAGGCTGCCCAGGCATTGAAGGCCCTACCACATTATGTCCATGACAAAATAGTTTTTTTACTGCAATTAGCTCCTGTTTGTCCTGCGGAGCCAACCCAGCTGAAAGTGTGAACTGGACACTAAGCTCTTTAGCGCAGAGATTGTTTCATTTACTATGTTTGTGGAGCACCTAGTAAAATGGGTCCATGATCTAGTTGACCTCTAGGGACGAATGCAATGTTTGTATTAAATAATACAATCTTGTGTACAAAGTTGTTGACTAAATTCCCGTTACAAGACTAATTAACTGCACTTTTGTGAAATCTCATTGAATGCCATGGGAGTCCATGTTTATTGTCTGTTTCCATGTCAAATGAGGCATTTACAAGCAAAAAGATTATTTTTCTTTCAACTGCCAGCCCTGCAAACTCTGACTGGATTCTTTCATTTTCCTACATCAACAGCAGTAATAGACTGCAGGTCAAACTCTGCCCTCATTTTGCCATGCAGGCTGTAAAAGTTGTACAGTTACAGTAGCCAGTAGAGGGAGCTCTCATACAGCCAGATAAATTGAACACGAATGTTGAAAGCGTCAAAGAAAAGAATATAAAAGTTATGTAAGTCCCAAAGAATTCACTGTCAGCTTAAATTCAGTGCAAGATGTTAATGCACATGAAGCTTAAAGCAAAATTCTGCTAAATTTATTATATATATTGCTTCAACAATAGAATTAGAGCAAAAACCTTTTTCTCTCATTGGGACTCATCCTGCAACCCATGCTCACCTGAGTAATCCTTTCTCAAACAGTACTGTTCCTGTAAAGATTACTCAGGTGAGCAAGGGTTGCAGAATCTGGCCCTGTATAACAAGTAAAGCGATGGTATTGGCCCACAAAACTGATTACACACACACTTCCCCCGCCACTCTTATTTCTCAGCAATGGGGAGACTTGGTCATGTTGGATAAATCTCTCTATTCTGTTTCAAGAACTGCATAAGTACCAGTATCATGCATGCTAATGCACGCTCATTGGTTTCAGAAAACAGCAGATACATAATTAAGAATGTATAATCCCATATCACTTTGTATGTTAGTCATCACATACTGTACAAATGATGTATGCAAGACCTTAAAAACTAACATCCTGAATGTTTTATATAGATCAGAGATTCTCAAACTGAGGTCCGCAAGCTTCATTCAGGTGGTCTCCGGATAGTTCTCTCTAAGGTGCACACCTGGGCGGCTACACACAAGAGACTGAAGGGCCGCCCATCTAATTAGTGGCTCCAATCAGATGCCTGGACCCTGGAGAAGATGGACATGTAAGGTGAGGAGGTGACTGGGGGGGCGCAGTGGGTAAGAAGACGGGGTGGGGGGGAATTTAGAATGTGCAGGACTATGGCGCCAGAGAAAGAGGCAACTTTCCCCAGCTCTAGGGCTGTGGCTGCCGGGCAGAGACCCGCCCCCTGCTTCCCAGCTTGGGGGCTGCCGCAATGGGGGAGAGAGCCCCATCATCGCATTCGAAAGGTAAGACTACTGGTATTAAAATATGAGTTGTGTGCTTTTATTTATAGAACAAAAAAAGTTAATTATTACTTTTTTTTAATACATGGTGCTTTTATCAAAAACAGTCCAGGGGTGGGATGGGGAGTTTGAGAACAACTGATATAGATGTTAAAGATTCCATGATACTTTTTGCAAGCATAGGGGTTTTGCTGGAGTCCTTGATGAAATTTTTAACTTCCCCTAATGCTGTGCCGCATAGTGACTACTGACTGGCTCGTGCCTTTCACCCCTCAGATTGTAGTAGTAGGATTTTATGTTTGTATTTTGTCTAATTTAGAATGAAGTCTTCTGCATTGTAATTTGATGTTCCTGTTCAAAATGTTCTGTGTAAATTAATTCTGTTTTGTGTGTGAATGAGGAATGGGTGTTAAGAGAAGTGTGAAGGCCATCACTGAACCAGATGTTCTAGGGAGCACTGGAGACAGACGCAAGGGCACCAGGAGGCTGCAACGCACCCCTATAGAAATGTCTGAGGAAGGCAGATTGATGACTCTAAAGATGAGACAGGCACCTATCAATGGGGACAAGATAGCTGTGATCAAAACCAGCCTGGGATAACTCCCTGAGAGACTTGATGAAAGAACAAGATAAACGATGAGAAGGACAATTTAAGAAAACAAGCACTTGTCAAACAACAATTGATTACAGCATAATGGTGCAAAACTCATCAGTCCCAATGAAGGAAAATCACTATATAAACAAAAAGAAAACGAGTACTTGTGGCACCTTAGAGACTAACCAATTTATTTGAACATAAGCTTTCGTGAGCTACAGCTCACTTCATTGGATGCATACTGTGGAAAATACAGAAGATGTTTGTTTTTATATACACACAAATCATGAAAAAATGGGTGTTTTATCACTACAAAAGGTTTTCTCTCCCCCACCCCACTCTCCTGCTGATAATAGCTTATGTAAAGTGATCGCTCTCCTTACAATGTGTATGATAATCAAGGTGGGCCATTTCCAGCACAAATCCAGGTTTTCTCCTCCCCCTCCACACACCCACTCTCCTGTTGGTAATAGCTTAACTAAAGTGATCACTCTCCTTACAATGTGTATGATAATCAAGGTGGGCCATTTCCAGCACAAATCCAGGTTTTCTCCCCCCCCCCCCCAAACAAACCCACTCTCCTGTGGGTAATAGCTTATCTAAAGTGATCACTCTCCTTACAATGTGTATTGTGTTCTGTTATTTTCTTTGTTAGGCCTGTCCTGTAGTAGGTGACTTCTGGGAACTCTTCTGGCTCTATCAATCTGTTTCTTCACTTCCGCAGGCGGGTATTGTAGTTGTAAGAATGCTTGATAGAGATCTTGTAGGTGTTTGTCTCTGTCTGAGGGGTTGGAGCAAATGCGGTTGTATCGCAGAGCTTGGCTGTAGACAATGGATCGTGTGGTGTGGTCAGGGTGAAAGGTGGAGGCATGTAGGTAGGAATAGCGGTCAGTAGGTTTCCGGTATAGGGTGGTGTTTATGTGGCCATCATTTATTAGCACTGTAGTGTCCAGGAAGTGGATCTCTTGTGTGGACTGGACCAGGCTGAGGTTGATGGTGGGATGGAAATTGTTGAAATCATGGTGGAATTCCTCAAGAGCTTCTTTTCCATGGGTCCAGATGATGAAGATGTCATCAATATAGCGCAAGTCACCTACTACAGGACAGGCCTAACAAAGAAAATAACAGAACGCCACTAGCCGTCACCTTCAGCCCCCAACTAAAACCCCTCCAATGCATTATCAAGGATCTACAACCTATCCTGAAGGACGACCCAACACTCTCACAAATCTTGGGAGACAGGCCAGTCCTTGTCTACAGACAGCCCCCCAGCCTGAAGCAAATACTCACCAGCAACCACACAGCATACAACAGAACCACTAACCCAGGAACCTATCCTTGCAACAAAGCCCATTGCCAACTGTGCCCACATATCTATTCAGAGGACACCATCACAGGGCCTAATAACATCAGCCACGCTATCAGAGGCTTGTTCACCTGCACATCTACCAATGTGATATATGCCATCATGTGCCAGCAATGCCCCTCTGCCATGTACATTGGTCAAACTGGACAGTCTCCACGTAAAAGAATAAATGGACACAAATCAGATGGCAAGAATTATGACAGGTTTCAGAGGAACAGCCGTGATCTGATGAAGTGAGCTGTAGCTCACGAAAGCTCATGCTCAAATAAATTGGTTAGTGATCTGATGAAGTGAGCTGTAGCTCACGAAAGCTCATGCTCAAATAAATTGGTTAGTCTATAAGGTGCCACAAGTACTCCTTTTCTTTTGGCAAGAATTATAACATTCATAAACCAGTTGGAGAACACTTCAATCTCTCTGGTCACGCGATTACAGACATGAAAGTTGCGATATTACAACAGAAAAACTTCAAATCCAGACTCCAGCGAGAGACTGCTGAATTGGAATTAATTTGCAAATTGGATACAATTAACTTAGGCTTGAATAGAGACTGGGAGTGGCTAAGTCATTATGCAAGGTAAGATGAAGTGAGCTGTAGCTCACAAAAGCTTATGCTCAAATAAATTTGTTAGTCTCTAAGGTGCCACAAGGCCTCCTTTTCTTTTTCTCACAGTAAACTAAGTGATGCACAGCATTATTTACATATACAATACCCTGAACAATGAATATGTAAAGATAGAACAGAGTGAATTTATAAACAAGTAACCACTTGACATTGTTTTCTTTTTGCTCTATATATTTGTGTCTGTAACAAATGTATATTGCTCTTCTTTACCCAGAACTTTGTGATGAGAGTTTCCTGAACCATTGTAAAAAGAATCTGACATGTATATGAGAAATCAGAAAAGCAGTTTTAAATTTTAAAGGTACCTCAAAACCAAGTTTGTATCATTATAATTGTGTACATGTCTAAAAATGTTTGACACTAAGGGCCAAATTCATGCATGAAGTAATCCACTGAAAACAGGGGAGTTATACCAGATATTAATCTGTACCCAAATATTTAAATTAAATGTATTTAATGCAACAGAGGAAAAATATCAGACTACAAGTTTGAATTTTTGAACATTTCACAAGCAAGCATTCGTGTTCAAAAATGTCAAAACATCTATAATATGAGTTTCAATTCAAGAGACAAAGTGAGTGAGGTAATATCTTTTATTGGACCAATTTCTGTTGGTGGAAGAGACAAGCTTTCAGATTTAATAATTTTATTAAGATAATGTTGAAATAAGAAATGGTACAGAGTTCAAGCATAGAAGTTTCTGGTTGTCAGGGGATAAGGTACAGATTATCAAGGGGTACGAAATTCGATTTAGAAGCTGGTGGAGTAAGGATTACATAATAATCTGCAATCTCCCCGACTGGGGGTAAAAGTTTTACCGGTCAGAGTACAGACATTGAGATATGGGGGTAAGTTATCCACATAACGGCTATGTTCAGGTGCGGAGTATAGTGAGTGGATATGATGGTGGGGATGGGTCTACCCTCATTTGGTGGGATTTAATGTTCAGTGGGTTTATGGTTCCAGTTCATACGGTCCAATGGGGAAAGCCTCTCAGTCCCTTTCCCACAGTGGGTACACAATGTCGTACCGGCTCACTCCTCCTGGTACTGTCGATGGCTGGTGATGTGCTCGATGTAGATGTCCCTGGACCATCGGATGGTGTCCAAGACCATGAGGCGCCACATGAGCCGTGCGTAGCGTCTACCGATCCCGCAGGTCCACAGCACACGCTCGTTGCAGGGGTCCCAAGTGCCCAGGGCTCCGACGATCATGGCGTCCAGCTTCACCTCGTAGCCCTTCGCTCTCAGGGTGTCGGCCAGAGGGGCGTATTTTTCCAGTTTCCAAGCTTGGGCTTCTCGGAAGGCCGGGGTCCTGTTCTCGAAGGGGACTGTGATGTCGACGAGGATGATCTTTTTCTGGGCCTCATCGGTGACGACCACGTCGGGTCACAGCGGGCTGTCGGTACCGGGGATGGCGCAGTTCATGGCGACCTCCCCCAGGCGCGGTGCGATGGCTTTCACCAGGCGGTTCTGGATGGCATTGTGGCGCAGCTGCCAGGCTCTGGAGTGGGGCTTGCAGCTGCACAGGACGTGGGGCAGGGTCTCGTTGGAGTAGCCACACTTCCTGCAACGCTTGTCTCGGTTCCCGTGGCAGACGGCTCCGTTGAGCGGGACGCAGTTGAGCCGGGCGTGGTGAATGAACCGCCAGTCGGCGAAGCAGGTGAAGCCGCCCCCGGCGAGGAAGTAGTTGCTGGTGTCCCACTTGCTGGTCAGTTCGAAGGCTTTTCCCTGGTCCGGCTTACGCTTCACGGCTTCTATGTACAGCGAGTGGATGGCTGCCTTCAGGGTCCTCTCCAGCAGGCCCCTGGTGCTCAGGGTGACGATGGTGTTGTCCTCAGACCTGATCTGCGGCACCAGGACTCCCAGCTCCTGGCGCTCCTCGCACCACTCCCAGCGGCAGCCGATGCGCTTCCCCAGGCGGTGCGTGGCATTGCGGGTGCGGGACCACAGTGAAGCGATGTTGCCCCCGTCTCGGCCAAATTCACCATCCAGGGAACTGCTCAGGAAGCTGGCGGTGTCTTGGTTGGAGGGGGCTCTACTGATCCGCTTTTGTGTTGCGTCATGGAGGGCTTTTGCTGCGATGCTCCTTACCATGGCGTCGGGACATGTCAGCAGGCGGAAGGCGTGGGTGATCACCGCGATGTCACACAGGTCACCCATGCAGGGGACATTGGCACCGCCATGCCTGTGGGTGATATAGACTAGCTCGTTGCTGGCTCTCTGGGGAAGGAATAACCATTTCTTCACCAGCTGCCGGATGATCTTGTCTGCCTTGTTGAGGGGTACCTTTGCCACAGCGGATCCCCTTAGGACAAACGAGATGCAGGGGATCAGGAAGGTGTTCAGGGCGTTTATCTTTTGCCACGGTGCTAGCAGTGAGGTGTCGATCTTGGAGGCATCCTGTAAGATCTCTTGGATGGTGTCCTCGGGTGTCTGTCGGACACAGAAACCCATCGGTGTGCTGAGGTGTCGGTAGGCCTGCCCCTCTGCCAGGGGTTACACAGAGCTCTTCTTCAGATCTGGGAAAGGTACTCAGAGTGTCACAGCTAAATACAAGGTGGAACAGATTGTTTAGCATAAGGAGTTAACACATGTTGCAAGAGACCATTTAAGGGAAGTGGGCAGTTAACACCTCTGCAGTTCTAGGACAAAGGAGTGTTAGTAGGTTACAGATTGTTGTAATAACCCATAAATCCAGTGTCTTTATTGAGTTCATGATTTTTAGTGTCTAGCAAAGTTACGAGGATCTCTCAGGCTCATCTTTTTAAGCTGTTGTGCAGGTTTCCTTCGAAGATGAGGACTGAGAAGTCAGATATCAAGTGCCCATTTTGTGAAAAGTATTCACCCACAGGTGACATGGCATTTTTGTCTTACCATTTTTCTGTGTGATTACATTTTGAGAGCATAGTGATTGCCTTGTTTCACATGGTTGTTATTGGGCATAAAATGCCCCAACTGAGGTACACTACATGTTGTGACAGGCATGTGTAGGATCCATGGATCTTGAAAAATATATTGTGGGAGGTATGGATCATCCTTAAGACTACGATTGTCACGGAAGTCATGGAATCCGTGACTTCCAGAGACCTCTGTGACATTTTTCACTTCAGCCCTGGGGCAACGGGGCTGGAGCTGTCAGCCTCACCCCACCCCCACCGCCGCAGTTCACAGCCACCAGGCAGCAGGAGGACCCCAGCAGCTGCCCAGCCACCAGGGGTGGGAGTCCCCTAGCAGCTGCCCAGCCCCCACTTTGGCAGGGATATTTTGAGTAAAAGTCAGGGACAGGTCACGGGGTTCTGTGAATTTTGGTTTATTGTCTGGGACCTCTCCCTGACTTTAACTAAAAATATCAGTGACAAAATCTTAGCCCTAATCACCGTAGTAGTGGAGATGCATCTACAGATTTTGCATCTGTTTTTCTGACAGGGCCTGGTGCCACTTTGAGTTGGTATGTACTATTCTGGGGGAGCTTGCTTCTGATGAGCTTGGAGAGGTTCGGGTGTTACTCCTGGGGGAATTCTGCGCATGCGCAGAATTCTTGTCGTCTGCAGATTTCTTTGCTTCCCTGCAGAAAAATGACTTTCTGACAGGGAAGCTGGCAGAGCAGTCACACACCACTCCTTAGCTGCGCAGGTACATTATTTCAGGCACCTGGAGCAGCCAGCGGAGAGGTAAATCACCATAGAGCTGGGGACACCTCAGCCAGTAGCTCCTACCCTGAGCCGGGATCAGCTGCTAGTCCCAGCTGGGCTGGAGGCAGGAGAGGATGGGACTTTCTCTTCCCCTGCAAGGAAGCTCAGCATCCTGCCCTGCTTCCTGCCCCCACTGCGCCTCAGCTGCGGGGGGAGGGCTCACTGTACAGGGAGCTGCTCCCCCATCTGCCCAATCCCTGTGTACCCAGACACTGGTGCCAAGCCTCACCCCATACACTCAGAACCCCCCTTGCCCTCCACACCTGAACCCCAGCCCCACTGAACCTCAACCCCTTCATCTGGACAGATCCCGTGCCTCCAGACCCCCACTGAGCTCCCTGCACTCAAAACCCGACCCTGATAAGTTCCAGCCCCCTGCACCACCCTGAGCCCCCACTTCCAGACCCCCATGCTACTGACCCCCAACTAGCTGCACCCAAACCCTCACTCCCCCAGCACCCCTGTTGATACCCCCACACCCAGACCCCTCTGCTGAGCCCCAACCACCTTCACCTGGAAGCCCCTGCAGTCCCATTGCACCTAGAACCTCCACACATACACGCACAAGCCTCTGTGCATCCAGATCCCCTCACACCTAGACCCCACACTGCGCTGCCTGCACCCAGATTGTCCCACACAGAATCCTCTCACCCCACACCTGGATCCCCCCACAATGAGCCCCTCTGCACTTGAATCCTGCCGGGTTGAAGCTGTCTGCCCCACACCCGGTACACCTGCCACAGAGGGGCAGGCCCAGGCCTTGTGCTGTGTCAGGGTCAGGTGCAACTTCACCACTGAGTCCGTGCCCTGGCAGTGAGGGGTGGAGGGGCTGCAGGGTGATCTCCCACCTGTGCTCCCCACTGCCATGCTGAAGCCTCTGCATTAATTTACTGAAAAATAAAACCTGCAGAATTTTCAAGTACGGGGTGCAGAATTTTTAATTTTTTGGTGCAGAATGCCCTCAGGAGTAGTTGTTTGAAGGCCAAAAGAGGGAGTTCAGGAAAGATTTCTTTCAGGATATGGTTCCCATCCAGTATGGGTTCCAGTGTGGGATAATAGGGGGCAACTAGGGGTGTGCGGTTGGAGGGTTCTTCTCCTTCCTTCCCCATACTGAAGCAAAAAGAAAAGGAGTACTTGTGGCACCTTAGAGACTAACCAATTTATTTGAGCATGAGCTTTCGTGAGCTACAGCTCATGCTCAAATAAATTGGTTAGTCTCTAAGGTGCCACAAGTACTCCTTTTCTTTTTGCGAATACAGACTAACACGGCTGTTACTCTGAATACTGAAGCAGGTGCTTTTGTGGTATTTGGGTGGCATGCAGGGTGTAAACCTCTGTTCAGAAGGTGGAGTCAGAAATCAGAGCATGAACCCTTAGTGATGATATATCAACAGTTGAAAACACAATTTCAGCTCAATTCACGCTGAACATTTTGTGAAGGAATTGGCAGTCTTTTAACTAGCTTGAAACACTATCCAAAGAACTTTCCTTGGCACATTGATTTTGAAATTATACTCAAGACAGCATTAACCAATTCTCTATTATGTCCCTCCTCATTTTAAAATGAGAATATCAAAGGGTGTTTTTAAACTAAATATCTCCAACACAGATAAAATAGTCTGAAGTCATCCAACTTTATCCTGTTACAAATGATGAAAGAAAAGAGCAACTAGTAGGAAAAGCTGCTAAGTAAGATGGTACTCAATGAGAGAAACACAGATCAAATACAGAGATGAGTAAAAAGTATTACTGAATACATTCAAGCTACCGAGAGAGGCTATCACATGGGCTCATATCATGCTGTCAGTTTTTAAGCAGAACTCCTGACTAATTTCTGCTTAAAACCTAACAGCACAATATTCCCATGGTACTTTACATCATGAAATCAGGGTGAGAAAGGATGCCTGAATTCAGATAGTACTCTTTGCTTTATCTAACTAAAATAATAAAAGAATGTGATAAATGTTTCCAGGATACCATCTGAGATATTAAATAAGCAGTTTGTCACATCATTATGAGTAAGAGACTCTTGTATGCTACCATCACAATTGCTCATAAATCTGAGAGGAAAGTGGGGGAAAAAGAAAACATGCTCATAGATCACTGTAAGCTAAGTGTCAAGTATTGTATCTGCTTAAAATTATGAGAAATTTACGAATACAGTGATTCTAAGTTATCGTCTGTCAGCACCTTCAAATACAGATTATCAGGATTTTAATTTGGTATTACTGAATGAAGACTAAGCTCTTCCTAAATATGACAGAATGATTCTTTCATAGACTGGGTTAGAAGTACTGTAAATGGCTGCTTGTTGGAAGGAATTGCCTGACTTGTCAAAGGAGACAGGATGTCAATGGAAGTAGTTGGATTGTTGGAAAGATTATGACAGGCCCAATGGAAGGATTGAGTTGAAGTTTAAGAGCTAGTTTGCACAAGGTTTCAGGCTACTTAATCTATTGCTAGTAAGGAAAGTATGATAAAACTGAGTATGAAGTATGAAACACCCTTGACACTGGATGTCATACTGCACCCCAGTGTCAAGGGGTGACACTGCACCCCATATTCTTCACAGTGATATTATATGATTATGGCATGGTTATGATGTATTTTATGCAAGATAAGTCATGTGAGATGTCATTGGAAAGATTATGATTAGCTGAATGATTATTCTATTTGCATGCATGCATACTTTGTATATCCAAAGTTATGAATATTGACTATGTTAGTCTCTAAGGTGCCACAAGAACTCCTTTTCTTTTTACAGATACAGACTAACAGGGCTGCTACTCTGAAACCTATCTTTCACATGTAGCTCCTCCTGGGCAACAGGCTCTGAGTCTAGATGGCTGGCTGGGAAGGGCCCATTGAAGTTAAAGGGCCATTAGGAAAACAATAAGCCTTAGGAGAAGCTTATCTCTCACCTGGGGAGCCTTCCTGAGAAAGCTACAACCAGCCTCCAAGTAATGGCTGCTGTGGCACTACAGGGACATGTGACCAGATCACCTGGTGCTGGACTCCATCTTGGGATATCAGTATTTTTTCACTGGCTGGCATGGGAACCAAGTTCTGAAACAAAGGGTTCCTGCCATATGCAAAAGCTCTAGAAGGCAGGGGAGTGATGTCATTTGGGTTCTTTACTGACTTCCCCCACCCAAGAAGACTCCTGGAAACATCTGAGGAACAAAGACTGAACTGGGGGGAAGTGCTAGACTCAGGCTAAAGGGATTTTTAGCCTGCAAAAGGAACATCTGGAGATTCCAAGCTGTAAACAAGTGCAGCGTGCCCCTTAAGAATATTCAGCCTGCTTGTATCATCACTGAGGGTGAGAGTTTGCTATTCATATCCAATATATGAAGTATATTAAGCTTAGTTTGGGATTTTTGTTTATTTGCCTTGATCTGTTTGCTATTCCTTATCACTTAATCTATTTTTTTGTAGTTAATAAACTTGGTTTTGTTTTCTCTAAAACCAGTGTGTGGGAGTCATAACTCAGGCAGAAAACTGTTGCATATTCTTCTCCACATTGAGGGAGGGGGGTGAATTTCCTGACTTACGCCGTACAGTTCCCTGTGCTGCGCAAGACTGTATAATTTTGGGTTTACACTCCAGAGGGGGTGTGTGCCTGAGTAGCTGGGAAATACCATAGCTGGAGCCTTCCCATGCAGTAGCTGGTCATAGGGGCTGCATGTAACTGCAGCTGGGTGTGTCCCTACCTGTATGTGTGCTGGTGAAAGTGCAGTCTGGAGCCTGGAAAGAGCTTGGCAGCTTGTCTCAGTGTAAAAGGGAGCTCAGGCTGGGTCAGGGGGGCTCAGACGTACCCCAGTGCCAGGTGGTACCTCAGGGAGAACCCTCTTGTCCCAAACTAAGAAAGAGTACAAAATTTACTGTTCCCACCCCCAGAATATTTTTCTATACGTTTTCTGCCTTTTTTTAGGACATGCTGTGGTTCTGTAACACACTTGTATGGGATGGGGGTGGGTACAGTAGGAGAATAGATGTGCAATTCAGGTTGGAATTCCACCTCATAGGGTTAGTGTGGTTTACCTAATGATTTTTAACTTCTGGCTGTTGTAGTAATGTTCTTCATCTGTACCTCCAATCCAAAAGAAAGACTGACTGAGAATTTGATCTTGAACTCAGGTGCATGGGACAAGTGTTTTCTAAAAAAGCTATGCTGCATGGATGCATAAATGCATCAGGTTTTACCACAGTTTGCATATCAAAAGGCAGATTCGAGTTCAAAGATGACAATCACCTGACTGAGAATGAGACCCTTTCACAGGGCCCTGAACTGAACAAACTGAACACAGAAGGCTTCTCTTGGGAGGCAAGCTAATACTTTCAGCTATGAAAACAACTTGGCTCCTGTGAGACTATAATGAAAGTTGAGTTTCAAACTCTGCTTTTTCCAAAAATTTGTCTGATGGACTGAAACATTCTACAAGTAGTGGTAGCCCAACAGTGCATTTTTGGAAAATTAAGCAAAATCTAGTCATCTGATCTTTTAAAACATCTGGAAAAAATAAGGAATGTACTATTTTTACTTACTTTATTATGTGTAGCACTATGGAACTTCACAACTCCCAAGTACTGCACTGAGGAATATCCTAGTTCAGGAGCTGTTTTTTTTTTTTTCTTGTTTGTATATTTATTTTATCCACTGATAAGATGCACCTATCAATTAGTCTCTCAAGGCTCATTTATAATAAAAGCAATTTAAAAACTGCACCAAAAGTTTTCATAACCTAGTTAATCTTAGCTAATACAAACTCCACAGCTAGGATAGCAAACACCCAGTCACACCCAAATTAGGCGCTACTTAAAACCGCATGAAACTGCGAAGCTATCTTGATGGGGAGATCATAGTCTTCTCAAATTTAGAATTACAATCAGCTTTAATTTAAACAAATGAACTTACCCTATTTTTATTTGTGTTTATGATGATCATGCTTAGCAACCAACCAAGAACAGAGGACCATTATGCTAGGCATTGTACCCTCTGCCCCAAAGAATGTACCATAGAAGTAGACAAGACAGACAAAGGATAGGAATGAACCCATAACCAGAGTGAACTATGTGGTGACAGCAACTGTCATGTTTATTCCTGCTTTTTTTTTGGCGGGAGGGGAGAGTGTCCTTCAATCCTTATGGGTGTAGACAACTCGGGGTTGGGGAGTGTCTATGGTTTGCATTAATAAATAAAGGAAACACTGAGTTTGGAACAGAAGCTCATTTATCTCACTTTAATAAAGTGGACAAGTTTAGTCATGGTACAAACCTACTCATTAAAGCAATATGCAACAGCTCTTTTTTTATTACTTTTTAATGCTCACCCCTCCCACCCAATAAAAAAGTGTCCATGCCCCTGTCTTTCAGTGGGGTTCTACTGGGAGGGAATTAGCTATCGGTTCTCAAACTGTGAGTTGAGACCCTGTTTTAATAGGGTGACCAGGGCTGGTATTAGACTTTCTGGGACCCAGGTTTGCAGCAGAAGCCTGAGCCCCACTGTCCAGAGCTGAAGCCAAAGCCCAGGGGGTTATAGCCCGCCTAGAGATGAAGACAAGCCCTTGGACTTCAGCATCCCCCCCACGGCAGCGGGCCTCCCCTCCTGGGGTCGACAAGGGGGTAGCAGTGCAAGGAAGTTTGAGAACCGCTGGATGGAAAGAACGACAAAAGGAGGGGATGAGAGCCCATCAGCACTGGGGAGAGAGCTCTGCAATCTGTTTGATATAAAACGTCAGTGAGACAAGGTGAGGTAATAGCTTTTCTTGGACTAGTATTACCTCACCCAGCTTGCGTCTCTAATATCCTGGGACTGCCAGGGCGATAACTGCACCGCATACATAAAACATCAGGGTCACCTCCCCGCTTGCACTGCTCCGGCACCGGGGCTGGCCCAGATTCTTCCTTGTAGTTTCTTTTCCCCCCGCCGGCAATGCTGCTCGTACCCAGGGTGGCGGAGAGCGGAAATCTCAGCTCTGGGGCCAGGGGACTGTCTGGACCCCATCTGACCCCTGGCCGCGCTCCATGACTTTGGCTTTGCAGCTGGAGAACGTGTCCGCCGAGCCGGCGGTAGGGCTGCCAGAGTGCAGCTCACTCAGCCCGCCTCTCGAGGGACTCTCTGCTCATGCAAACTTATCCCTAGGTCCCCCGCTCGCTCATGGGGAGGGGGGGGAGGGGAGGGGATGATTGCTGCTGCTGCCGCCCCCCCCCCTTCCGCTGGCGTGCGCTGCCCTCTTATCACGCCTCCGCCCGGCCCCAGGGGACTGCAGCAATGAGCGCACAGCTGCCGCAGGGAAGCTAGCTGCGCGCCGGGGCTTTTAAAGCAGCCGCAGGACCCCTCCCAAGGGGTGTCTCCTGCACTGCCTGACAGCCACGGCCGCTTTCAGACCGTTTCATCTCGGTCCGGCCGGCTTTATCCTCCGCGATTTCTCTCTTCCCCGACTCAGCCCGCCCGCTGATTATTGAGGAAAAGGGCGGTACACAGGCCCTGCGGAGGCACGTAAAGAAAGGGAAGGACCTTCGCTCCTCTTCCTGGGGAGGTGGTGCCCGAACGGTCGCAAGCTCAGCAGCCCACAAGCGCATGCGCCTGCTGACGGCTGTAAAGGTGGAGCCGCAAGACCACGCGCTCGCCCTGCCGCGCGAGTCGGGGAGAGGGCGGAGCGTGCGCACGCTGCAGCGCGAGGCGGGAAAAGAGGCGGAGGTCAGGCAGGGGACGCTGTATCGCGCGCACGCGGGTTTCTGTGGGTTGGACTTGTGCCAGCGGAGGGCGCGCGGGCGGCCGGCGGCGCGGGGAGCGAGCCGGGCTCGGTACTGGGAGCTGCCGCCGTCGCAGGGGTGCGCGCGGGCGTGTCGCGCGCCCTGAGAGCGGCGCGGAGGAGCTGGCGGCGGCTCGGGGAGGAGCGGGGCGGGGCCCGGAGGGTGAGTGACACCCGGAGGCGGGCGCCGGCTGGGCCGGGCCGGGGCTGGGGACGCAACCTTCCACGGGACCGAGGAACCGCCGCAGGCAGGAGACGCGACTGAGCGAGCCCGCGGGGTGCCGCGGCTGCCGCCCCCCACCCTCTCAGCGAAGACCGAGCAGAGGACGCGCCAGGGCCGCTGCGGGGCGAGTCCGGAGCGGCTGAAGTTTAGACCTGCCGCGGGGGCGCGGAGCCGCATCCATCCTCGGGCCAGGGAGCATGAAAGTTCCGCTCCGGCCCCGCCGCTGCTTCCGGCTGCGATTGGCGACGGGGAGCCGCTGCCCACTGCGCTGAGAAGCGGCGGCGGGTCCGTGCCGGGCCTGCGGGCTGGGGAGAGACGCCAGCAGCTCCACCGCCGGCCTCTGGGGATCTCCTCAGAAAGTGCCTGTGGCGCTGACGCCCCCAGTTGGAACTTCGCAAGAAAGGAAACTTGGGGGAAATCGTGAAAAACACTGAAAACTTGAATAAAAAGCAGTTCCCCGAAATCAGAGGATCCTGCAAACATCCCCTCCCCGACTGCGTCACCAGCAGCCTCACAAGGGAATCACTGGAGATTTAATTTAATGCATTTGAAAGGATTTTTGTTTGTGTGTTTCTTGGTTAAGGGCCTTGTATTCACCTGGCGGGTTTGTCTGCGGAGAAGAACAGGAGAAAACCTCCTTTTTGCTGGGCAGGACTTGGAGGTGAAACGGTGGTGGCTACTTTTCCAGCTGGGCACTTCTCCCCACGCCACTCCTCACTTTGTGTGTGTGTGTCTTGTTTTTGGTATTGAAGCAGTTTGATTCTTCTCCTAATAAACTTTTTCGTTCAAATCCACGATGGAGTCTGGCAATATGGACTATTTCTGTGATCAGGTACAGCAGAAAGATGTGAGCCGCAGGATGCAAATCGGCCAAGAATTGCTGGAGTATCTGGCTGACCCCAGTAGATCCACTGACCTAGAGCAGGATCAGCAGCGCCTTGATAAAATGATTGACGAATTAACAGGATGGGTCAACTCTAGTAATTTTAAGGTAAGAATGTTTTGTGCAGTGGTTGTAACAGGATTTTTCATGTTAAAAAGGGTTGGTGCTCTTAATTATCTTTGAATCATAAATGAGCAGAACAGGACCCCAGTTTTTCTTGCCTATCATATCTCGTTTCTTTCTTCCTTCCACACAGAGAGGTTTTTCAGAAAAGTGGATTTTGTTGGTTGGAAAGATTGTTTACAGTGTATTTCTGGCCTATAAGAGGAGTTCCTATTTTCTGCTTTCATGTTGGATAAAAATAGTACTAGCATTTGTCATTTAAAATATTGCAGTGAGAAAAGTAATTTATGGAGAGGTGTTTTGATGCATCTTTTTTTTGTGTGTGTGGTTCTTGATTATGTTTTTCTCACATTTTATGTCATCCTGTTTTTTGACCCCTCCCATTCCATACGCCCTATATTCACTCAGGTACATATTTTATGGGGTTGCCTTTATTTTTTGTAGGCCATACAAGTGATCTTTTACTAAATGTGTATTTTATAGTGGTTAACTAGTGATT